TTTTTTTCCTTTTTTTTCTTTTTTTCCTTTTTTTTTCATGGTGAAGACACGTCGAAGATGAAAAGGAGAGAAAGCTTGCGAGAAATATTCCACAAAGGAAAATTATTTTCTTCTTTTCTTTTTTGCGTGATCTTCGTCGAATCGAACGTTTTAATTATGGATTCATTTAAAATTGCTTTTATACTCCCATTCCCTCTAAAATTTTTAAATGACTATTAGAAGATAAGAAACATTTAGAATATTTATAGATATATATCTTATATAAATATTCTTTCATTTTAATTTTGTAAAATTAAAAGTAAAAATTTATGGATAAAAGTGCAAAGTTTTATAATCTTATTAAAATAAAATCTTTGACTCAAACAAACAAACTAAGCAATTTCGTTCAAGTATCTCGTTTTCTTAATTAAATTATGAATTTTCTAAACTACTTGGTCATCGTCTATATTTTTAATGCAAATCTTATTGTCAATCAAATTGTAAAACATTTTTTCAAAAAATATTAAGAAAAAATTGCAATTATCTATAAATGATAATTAATCTATATATATAAATAAATTAGGTTTACAGTCTTTAATGTATAAAGATTTTAATCATATAGAAAGAACAAGATAAGGATCTAAACGATGAAGAAAGTTTGTTTTATGGATGAAATACAAACTCCTTTTTTATTATGTAATTACTTCATAAAAACTTTCATATAGTTTGACTTTATGGAGATTGATTGTTACTTTGCTATGGCAAGATGTATTGCAATTTTCGCATTTAGTGTGTTCGTATCCATCTCGTCACATCTTACCAACTCGTTTCAAACTTTCATTATGTCAGTCTTTTTTCAGTCCTCCTTTGATCACGTTGATGCAGCCACGTGCTCTTTATATCTCTCATCGCCTTTTTTTTTTTTTATCTTTTATGTAGCATATTCGAAATTTGTACTTTTGTTGACATTCTTTCGTTATATTTAGAATTTCTAATTGTACGAGTAATTGTATGAGTTCTTTCAAACTTAAATTAATCAACTTCTAAACAATAACAACATAACAATTTTCTAAAAAATTTTTCATTTTAAAAGTAATATAACGTTTATTTGTATAATAAGTTCTTTTCGCTATATTTTCGAAGGTCTTTCTCATTTAAACTCAGTGAAGCGAATAATTTCACATCAAAACAATCATAAATTTCTTTAAATGTTTTGAAATGACAGTTCTAAAACATTTAGAAACGTTCTAACACAGAGAAAAAATTTCGTTACTTGCCTTTCTATATGTTCGTCATTATCTATAAAGATAAAACGAGCTCAAATTTCATCTCTTTAGCAATAATATATTACTAAAGTATATAAAAATAATATATAATATCTATTCGTGGTCAATTTCAAGTTGTGGAACTTATGATGAATACTAAAGATAATATTACTAACGTATATTTTTAATGTAAATAGTTTTTAATCTATTTGTTAGAAAACAATTTATCTATATTTCATAACCTATATAATACTACTTTGTATATTTTTTATAAACATAATAATTCGAAAAAGAAAAATTTATATTTCTAAGTTAAGTAATTTAATATTTCTTAAAAAGTAAGTTTACATATTTAAATTTTTATAAATATATTTCCTTATATATTCGTTACATATTTTCCTTATATATTCGTTATATATTCGTATCAAAATATCTTAATCTTCATTTTACAATTGAGAAAGTCTAATCTAATCTTCATTACATTCTCGATATATCCAAGTTTGTTCTTGCTTTCATCCAATTTCTTTGTAAAGTTGGACTTTGAAAGCAATATTTTGATCAAGATTTAGCGATCGTGGAACACTGAACGCAATGCGCCGTTGTGTCTCGACATGTCGACTCATAGGCACATAACTGCGTATCTGCATTGCCTGCGGCCCTCCGTGTCAGCTTTTTAGTCTTTCACTCTCATGTACACGAAAAGGGCGAAACTACCATTCGAAATTCTCCAAGCTACAATACCCAAGTGTTCAGACAAAAAAAGCAAGTAAACCCGGTTCACTTCGATGAATAGAGATTCGTTCTCTCAACTCTGTTTCGCTTCCTAATAATCTTTCCGTTAATTCCTTCTTCTAATTAGCTTTCGATTCACGGATAGGTTTAATTAACGACCAATTTATTCGTGATTCATCTTAAGATTAAAATCGAAATAGATTTTAATTTGGATTTGACAAATAAATTGAAGAAAATCTTAAATTTATGAAATATTATAACAATGGATATATAGAATGTTTTTTCTGAACGAATAGTTTCGAATTATTATATACGCTTCATATCTTATAGAAATAAATTCACGTCAATGACATTTGTAAACGTTTTCCACAGCTGATATATATATATATATGATTTCTATTGTATAGAATGTCAAAGTTTACTCATGTAGTAGAACTAAAAAGATGACGGTTTTTCTTTATCAACATCTGAATTATTGATTAAATACAGCTTGTTTCTCTAAAATTTTAAAATAGAAACAATAGAATATTTCCTGGAATATATTGATTTTATATTTTTTGTTTTATTCTTAAACTCTTTTTTTGTTGTATAACACGTTATATAAGATTTATCGATTTCTCTTTTCATTTACTATCATTAAAGCATAATAGGTCTACATTCTCATCTATCATTCATTCATATATGCCTTTTATACGCTAATGACTCAAATATTTGATAAAATATTTAAAAAAAAATTATTTTGATAACAAAAAGAAAAAATGATTAAATAATTTAATATTAATTATTTACGAACAGATAATTTGATAATTATTTGAAATTCTTTATAAGTCTTTTAGGTTATGTCTTGAAATAAATAAACTATGAGGCAATTATAGCGATCACATTTTCATTTAACCTAATTAATATAAAATCATTAAAAAATAACATTCCTCGTTCTATTATTATTGCTATAAAATATGAGAGTATAATTATATTTAAATAAATAAGAAGAAACGATTAATTAAAAATATTTGATCACAAATTGAAAGCCGTTGTTTTAGTTAATATCTGAACGTTATCTGAACGTTTCGAGTCTTATTATCTGAACTATTTCGAAACTTCCGAACCAATTATCCAGTCGAGAAACTCGAGCATACTTGAACAATTCATACTTCTTTTTTAAATTTCTTTTACCAATATAATATTTATTATCACTATAAATCTTCTATTAAAATTTTTAAATCAGGTGAGTTTTATAAACGCGTGATGTATAGAAATAAAAGTGTTATCAATAGATTGTTTTCAACATCAGCGATTTCTATCAATCCTGATTAGTGGTTGATGGAAACGTTTTACAAGATAAATTGTTTTTGTCGTGGTTAAACCCCGGTCACGCCGAGTTAAATGAGGGGATTATTGCCATTGATTAAGAGCAACGCTGATTGCGAAAATTACAACGCGCATTCAAGTCTTTGTTTTTACTGTTAACACGAACACCTGAATTTATTAAATTAAAATCAATTATTAACTATTTTTCTCTATCAAAAAAATATATTTTTATAATAAATGTAATAAATATACACTATTATAAATACATTAATTTAACAAAAAAAATAAATAACAGAATCAATTAATAAGGAATTTTCCTAAAAAATCCCTAGAAAAGTTAGCCAATCGACGAACTAATAAAAACCATTATTTTAAAAAATATCGACTTTCATTCTTTCTAGTAAGTATATATATATAATATAATATTGTTTCGAATTTTTCAATTGAATCAGATCATCGATTAATCGATCGATTCCAAATCAAAAATATATCTAATACATAAATATTCAATCGACAATTAATCTTTTTTCTCTTCTTTTTTTATCGGTTTTTTTTAACGAATGAAAAGATGAATTCAGCGATATAATGTTTGCCATAAAGATAGATCGATCCATCTATAAGACAAACAGTTCTGCGCGACGTGTAATCCTTTTAGGGGATGCTTCGGGCATAGCCTGTTTGCACGTTCTTGAAATGTTCTCGTTTAAAAGCCGGATGATGTTAATTATCTAAGCGGGGTGTACATGTAGTGGGGGGTTGCAGTTTAAAGGTTGGTTTTTATAGCTTGCGTCGTTAGTGTCGCGGGTATCAGAGGATATCCGGTTTCGGTCGATTAAAGGGAACCATATATCGCTGAATCCAACTAATTAATTGCTTAACCTTTCGAGCTTGAAGCGTATTTTCTTATAATGACTCGTTAATATTCACGCCTTTCGTACATTTATGTAGAACTTTTTTTTTAAAGAATGATCTGAATTATTTCAAAGTCGTGTTATAAAGATTATTGAATTTATCAGTAATAGTGAATTATAAATTAAAAATAATTTAGATTAAGTTAAAACTAACTATGCTACATACCATTCAGTACTGCCCACATTTTTTACTGAATAAAATATAAAGAAAATAGAATATTGTCTAAAATATTACGTTTATTTTTATTTTTTAAATAATTTAAAAATTAAAAAAAGAAAAAATGACAAAGAAATATAAAATTGAACAAAGTAAATAATTATGTTTTTTTCGAGCTTTCGAACATTTATACTTTTCAAAAATTCTCTTGACTTATCGAGTTTACAATTAGAAGAAACTTTTCCACTTTTATCTACGCCTAATCGGAAACTGCGTTCCACCCGCTCAGTTCCTGATTTCCCACAAAGTGGAACATAATTCCAGTAATTTCGCGAAATTTCCGCGTTTCGTCGATGCAACAGCGGTTCACTCCCCCTCCCCTTATTACTTTCCTTTCCACTCGGGAATAATTTAGCTAATTTCCTAAAGCTTCATCTCGCTTCGACAACGATTGAATCGTCTTCCTTTTCATCGTTCTCTCGCCGGAAACATTTCCTCCGGTTTGCCGGCGTGGTTATCGGATCGAAGGCATCTCTCGAGGAGGGCCGATAAAGAGAGCGGACAAAAGCGTCGTCCGCCGCCGATCGATTTTTCGCCGGATTCTCGTAACGATTCTCCTTTCCTTCTTTCCTTTTCTTCTTGTTACAGCCTGAGAACCGAGCAACCGAGTGGTCTCGACACGGGCGGCGTTCGCTTCGAGCTGAGCAGGGCTCTCGATCTGTGGGCGAGGAACTCGAAACTCACCTTTCAGGAAGTTAACAGCGATAGAGCGGATATTCTGGTTTACTTTCATCGGTGAGTTATCTTTTTTTCTTTCTTTCTTTCTTTTTTTTTCTTTTTTATAAATCCAATAATTCTAATATGATAATGATTGGTTGGACAGTAATTGTTATAATTGTGATTCAATTTGTGAGTACGATATATTTTGTGCACACATATGTATTACTTTTATTAAGAATTGAATGGATACAAAATTGAAAGTTTTACGATTATTAATAGGATTAGATTATATTTAAATTGTTAAAATATTCTGAATTTAATGCTAATTTTATTTATCCTGATTTTTTTTATTATCTGAAACTTAAAATAAATTTGCTCGAAATAACAATTTAATAAATAATTTATATCTATTGTAAAATTCCTCCAATCATAGTTCATATGCTTAAAGTAACATTAATCAATTTTTTAAAAATTTTGTGAAATATTAATTTTTTATTCGTTTCGAATCTTGCTAAAATTATATAATCTTTAATGATAATTTAATTGTAAAGTAATGAAATTGTTGTATATCTATGGTTACTACTACCCACGCTCAAAAATAGGAAAAATATTTTTAACTTTATTCGGTCCCGGTCACGTTTCCATCTAATTTATACATTCTATTGAGATATTAACACAAGTATTATTGAGATATCAATAATACTGACGCGAATCAGGATGATAATTTGAATCCCTCTATAAAACTTGAAGGGAGAAAACAAAGAGAGGGGAAATAATGTGAACGGACAAAGGGCGGGATCAATAGCTCGATTCACGGGCCTCCTTGTTATCGGGAAATTTATCGCAATGACGCAACTGGAAATGAGAGTACGATTAAACGGAAGGGGTTTATTTAAAATCTGCTATTTGCGCGAATTGTTCCGCGGTCATGAAAGTTATGTACTGGTGAGCGTTTATACGTTCGTGAAATATGTCTGGATATAAAAAGAAACGACAAAATAAAAAAAAAAAATATTCAATTTAAATAAGATTTAAAATTGTTTTATATTATGGTCAGGATCAATTTACATGATAAATTATCGAATTGTAATATCATAAATTAATTATAATTAATTATCAAGTGACAAATTATAGGTTATGAATAGGTTTCTTAAAATTATATAATTTTATATCGAATGGAATATGGATATAAAAAGAAATGAAAAAAAAAGAAGAGAGAAACGTTCAATTTACACGATAAATTATTGAATTGTAATATTATAAATTAATTATAATTAATTATCAAGTGACAAATTATAGGTTATGAACTCGTAGATTTCTTGAAATTATTCCGAATAGAATAAAATAGAATAAATTTTTTTTATTTCATTATTCAAGTCTGTTCTACATATATTGAAAAATTTATTAAAATATTAACGAGATAGCAATTTATTGTATGTCAAGTTTTTTGATATATTAAGATGTATCGCTTGACATATTTTGCATCTTTAAAGTAAATCATTTTTCTTCTCTAAAGTTATATCAAAATCATAATTATTTTGCAAAAAAAGTCTCGATTATATCCTACTAGAATAATCGAATTTCCAATACTTCGCGATATAAAAATATTTAAAAATTTTATTGTAAATAAAGAAAAACTAATTAAACTCGAATATTAATAATTATTAAATGAAAGTAATTTTTAATAATGTATGAAATCAAATTAAATAAATATAGTAAATAAATATTTTATTTTAGAAAGAAAAGTACGCTATTCCAATATATCGGTTTCATATATATGTTAGATATTTACATTTTTATTGTATAAAACTCATTTATCTAACTCATTAGTTTTCCTATAGTTTGTAAGTGACGAGAAACTATTATATAATGCATACCTAATTTGTGTGCAACATCTCGCATATAATATCTATGACGCATATCAGACTGTGCTAAAGTCTTCAACCGATTATCGATCATGTTCATGTCAGTAGCATAGTTTGTTTCGAAAGTTCATGTATCTTGATCAACGTTTCTTTTTATAACAAGTTATAACTTCTTCATTAGATTATCGATATCATTTATTTTTGATAGATGTAAATTTTATAAAAAGTTTAATTTATTAATTATACTATATAATTGATATAATAAATAATTTTTAATTCTTGAATTGTTTATTCATTAATTTTATTCTTCGTTTTTTATTATAAATGTTGAAATTCAATAATTAAAAATAAATTTTTAATTTTAATAAATAATTTATTTAATAATTATTTTATAATTGTACTTTTTTATTATGAAACTTGAAAATAAAATTTTTTTATCGAATGTTTTCTTAATATCACTAACCGAAATAAACAGACTGTCTTTGTAATTCTTTTGAGATTGTAATGCTCAAATTAATTCTCCTGTTTCGATTCCGATTATTATATGTAAAATTAATATTGAAGACCGATTCTATTAATAGAAATAAGTGTTGAAATTAAATGATTGCAAAAGATTAAACTTTGCCTAAGAAGGTAATAATAATAATAATTGCCATTTTAATTTATATTATTTATTTTAATTCTTTCTTAAGAATCATTTTGTCTTGATAATTAGAAAATAAAAATAGTGTTGCATTTTTATTTATAATTGATTATTTCTTAAAAAGAATAATTATTTTTTTTTTTTAAATAAAGATTTCATTAATTAAAATATTCATTAAATAAAACATGCGTACATATACTTGAATATTTATAATTAATAACCTCTAAATAATATTTGCATACAAATTTAGGTTATATTTTCCTTAACATTCCAAAAAGCATTTGTATTTCTTTAATTTCAAGAGCTTGTTTTGAAATTTATCTATATCTACAATACTAAAACTAATTTTGAATTAAGATAGCAAGAAAGAAGAAGAAAGGAAAGAAAAAAACGATTCGTTTTCTTGATTAGCCATCCGAATGGTGCGATATCAGTGGCGTATCGGCTGTCTAGATAATCGACGAGTGCTCGTGAATGGAATTTAATTACGGCCCACGATATAGCATATTTCATTCCAGTTCTGTAGAAAAGGCAAATTAAACGAACCGCAAAACTAAGCGATAGATTGTGCATTATATGTCCGAAATACCATAAGAAATTAAAGATATAATGTCTAAATAAACAGAATATAAAATATTCTGTGACATGAAAATATAACTAAATAAATATAACTAAATTTTTTTGTTAAAATAAAATATCATTCCAATATATGTAATATTATTTTTAAATATTTTTGATTAATATTTGTTTATTAAATTTGAAATTTTATAATAAATTTTATTATTATATCATATTACATGAATATTATATATCAGTTAGAAATATAAAGAAGTGTTTCATTCTGGACCTGCTAGAGGGATTCAACAGCAGCACCATCTAGATTGTTCATATTCCAGTCACCATGATAATAATGGCATCTTAAATGAAAGAATGCGTTTGTGGAAATAGTTAAGTGAATAGTTTGTGAAAATTGTTTTTTGATGTGAATTAGTGAAAAATATAGAAAAAACACTACAATATGAAAGAAATGAAGGTAATTTTATCATGAATTGTATAATTATAATTAATCAATTATGAGTTTCATCATATAAATGTAATATATGTACTTATATGTATATATAAAACTAGTATTGAAAGGTTAAATACAAACTATTTATCATGGATTTTATGATAAATTTGCTTCAAGACCCAAACATCAGGTTATTAAATACATATCCAAAAAGAGAATTTTTTCTTTTTTGCAACAAAAGTACTATTTTTCCATATCAATAAATGTGAAATTTTTTATCAAAAATTCTCTCTTCACACTTGGACTAAAAATTGTCCAAGATATTGATAATTCTACACATACCAATTGGCATTTATATTTGTATTTAAGAAACAATCGATATGAGAAATTTAAATAAAATCATGATTGAGAAATGATAGGATTTTTATTTGGATTAATATTAATGAAATTTTAAATTAATATTATAAATTATGTATATATATATATATAATCAACACTAATAGTGATATTCTGTTCTGTTTCAGTGGCTATCATGGAGATGGATATCCATTCGATGGCAGAGGCCAAATTCTAGCACACGCATTCTTTCCTGGCAGAGATCGAGGAGGAGACGTACATTTTGATGAGGAAGAAATATGGTTGTTGCAGGGCGACAACAATGAAGAAGGTAAAAAAATATAATATATCACATTTTTTCTTTTAATGTATAATCAACTTTATTATTGTGCAAAATGATTTCTAAAATAAAATAAAAATATTTTCAATAAAAATTTTATATTTTTAGATAAAATTATATTATTTCTAACCAAAAAACGATAGAAAATTTGAATTATTATTAATTAAAGATAAATATGTCATATTGTTTTTATATTCTATTAAACTCGTAAATTCGATGAAACCACAACTTTTTAATTCGGAATATCTATTGAAATCGAGAAGTTAACAATGAAATTTCAAACTAATGATTCAAACTCGTTCAAATATCAAAAAGTAAATACAACCTCTCTAGTATTATTCGCTATAACAATAAATCGTGAAATTTAAACCTGGATTTTATAACAGTGACGAGAGAGAGATATAAGAGAAAAGTTTAGAGGGATTCGCAGATGAAAAGAAAAGATTCGTGAACCGAGAAATTTTCGCAAGAGAAATCGAGCCCTTCTCGCTTTTTGGCAATTCGCCAATTCGGTCACCCCGTGACCGAAAGAAGAAATAAGAGGATGACGATAGAAAGCGTTTCTCTATTCCACCATATATGCCTTATCGCTATTCTCGATCGATAACATTGCTTATCATTTTGAATTTCTAGAATCTAGGAACATATTAATTTAACGATAAATTTTTGTTAAAAAATCGCTTATGGAAAACTTTGATATATTCTTTTTTTTAAAATGAAATATTATTCAAAATTTTTGTTCTATTTATTTTTTGAAAATGAAATAGTTAAATAGTTAAATAGCTTTTTATTAAACTAAATTTTTTTTTTTAAAATTCAGAATTTATCAGTATTTGCAAATATTTTTTAATATTTTTTTGGAAATTAGTGAAATTAATGATATAAATATTCGATATAATATAGCATTGTTAATAGGAGAATGACGTAGGTGAATAACAGGATAATTATGTTAATGGGATGCAAGGCTAGCAGAGAATGAGAGCTAAGCCAGAATTATTAACGAGGCCAATCGGAATTACACCAATCACCTATCGAAATTGGACTATGCGTAATAATCTGTATGATATAGGAAATAGATGATCGATTCTGATTAATCTTTTTTGTTTTTCTTTCTATACTTGTGATATCATTTAACAACTATAACTCGTTTATGAATATGATTTAATATATGATACGAAATATTGTTATCTAGCTTTGAGAAAATTTTTATTTGACGTTTTTATTTGATAAAAATGAAGGAAAACTTATTGTTTTTTTATTTTATATTCCTAATTTCAAATTTAAGTTTCAAAATGTTCTATACTAGTAATTAATAATGTAATAATCGGACAACATATTCAGGAAATTGCATGAATTTACTCTCATGTAATTGGATTCAGAATTATACTCTCACCTCGAGAATCATTGGCGAAATTGTTTGTTCTCGCTTCAGTTTGATTATTTCTGTTGTGTGCATTACATTGTGTTCACATGTATCGTGAAAGATATTTATCTTGTATTTGCTAGATTATTTATTGTCATATAAATTTTTAAAAGGAAAAGTATTATTTGCTATATATGGTATTTTCAAATATTTATAAAAATTCGAAATAAATTTAATCGAGATCTGATATTTTAAAAGAAAAACAACACTAGCTTTGAGATATTTTAACAAAAATTATTTTTTAAATAAAAATTTATTTAGAGTTATATATTTTACATATATCTTAATCTAATCTTTAAGAGAAATAAAATTTTAATTTTAGACAATAAATTTATTATATTTTCTGTTAATCAAATATTATTGGATAATGTTCGTGCATACACTTAATTGAAAAATTATCGAGATTCGAATAATAGAAACTAAGGAGCCTTTCACAGACGATATGTAGTGTTGGTGTCAGTTATGAATTGCTAATTTCATCGCTGACACATCCCGTCGAGAATCGTAGGACGTTTGCAAACGATGAGAAGCCGGAACATCACGATTTGCAAATCCATTGGAAAATTAGCATTCTCCTCGAATAGTCTTGACAGAAATACATCTTGAATACGAAACAATTTGAAATTCTATCCAAAATAATCGTGTTTCCGGATATTTTTATCATGATGAATAAAAATAAATACGCGAAGATTGAAATATTCTGCCTTTTCATTCAATTTTAAAAATTTTATTTTATAATTTATTACAAGATATAAATTTATTTATTTCATTTATTATAAAATAAATTTAAAGTGTATATAATATAGATTTAAATTTAATCTATTTTCTTTTTCTTTTTTATATTATTAATAAAATATAAATATGATTTTCGATATATTTTGTAACTATTATTATCGTAAAATATTTTTTTTTTATTTTTTTTTTTATAATTGAAATAATATATAAAAAATATTTAGAAATTGTTTAAACTTCTTTCTTGTAGTAAAATTTCGAATGAATTCATATATAATATCAAAAACCTATGTTCGTAACTATTATGGATTTGATTATGACAATAAATAAGAATCAGAAAATAGTATGATATTTTATGGATGAAACTGATTTAATTTTCTGCTTTGTGTATTCGATAGAAAATATAACAAACGACACGATAATTTCGATCAAATCCCGAATAAACGTTATATATACGTTAGCGTTAAAATAATCGTGAAATATTTTTGGAAAAATTAATTCCAAAAATTGGTATACAAAAATGTCGTCTAACGCAAACTTCGTATGCTTTTATAATTTAATAAATATGCTAACATTTTTATATACTAATTTTTGTGTTTTGTTTTAACTTCTAGAATCGATCCTTCAAAGATGTTCATATATTAACACTTTATATATATTTCCAGACAAATCACACATTCTATATCTAATAACTACTTCAATAATAAGACATAATGAAATGATTTATTGGCATCCATTAAAATATTTTTTTATTTTATTTTATTTCATTTCTTAATGTTTAACAATTTGTTTATTGAAAACTTAAAAACTTTCTGCAGTATCTAAAAATATAAGCTTCGATTTAGTGTAGAA